GTCTCTGACCAAACAGTCAGAAACAGACCTCTTGAGGGTGGCCTGAGGGCCCGACATCCTCTAGTGGGCCCTGTGCTCACTGCTGAGCACCATAGAGCTCGATTGGCATTTGCCATTGAACACCAGAATTGGCAAGTCAGCCACTGGCATAATGTGCTTTTCACAGATGAGAGCAGGTTCACACTGAGCACATGTGACAGACGTGAAAGGGTCTGGAGAAGCCATGGAGAGCATTATGCTGCCTGTAACATCATTCAGCATGACTGTTTTGGTGGTGGGTCAGTGATGGTCAGGGGAGACATATCCATGGAGGGACGCGCAGACCTCCACAAGCTAGACAATGGCACCCTGACTGCTATTAGGTATCGAGTTGAAATCCTTGGACCCATTGTCAGACCCTACCCTGGTGCAGTGGGACCTGGGTTCCTCCTGGTGCACGACAAATGCATGTGACGAGAGCATGTAGGCAGTTCCTGGAGGATGAAGGAATTGATACCATTGAGTGGCCCCCACGCTCGCCTGACCTAAATCCAATAGAACACCTCTGGGATATCATATTTCGGTCCATCCAATGCCGGCAGGTTGCACCTCAGACTGTCCAGGAGCTCATTGATGCCCTGGTCCAGATCTGGGAGGAAATACCCCAAGACACCATCCGTCGCCTGATTAGGAGCATGCCCCGACATTGTCAGGCATACATACAAGCACGTGAGGGCCATACAAACTGAGTACCATTTTGAGTTGCTGCAATGAAATTTCTACAAAATGGACTAGCCTGCTGCATCACTTTTTCTTTGATTTTTTGGGGTGTCTTTGAATTCAGTCCTCTGTAGGTTGATAATTTTTATTTCCATCAAACGATGGGGCATCCTTATGTTCCTAACACATTACCCAGTCCATATCAGTATACTGTAGATCTCCAACATTGTATTTTTACCCATTGAGTTCTGATGTGTTTTCAAAGTGTTACTTTATTTTTTTGAGCAGTATATATATATATATATACTCTACAACCAAATTCAATATACAGAAATGTCAATGTATTTGCAAATTTCCACATTCCAGAAATATTTCTTTTTAATGAGTGAGATTAGACATATGAGAATGCTGCAGCACACTGAAATCTGAACCTAGTTGTTAGATGCTGTGCGATTGCAAGCAGAGTCTATGTTGCAGCATGTGCATACACAGATCATGTGCTCACTCAGCAAAGGGAAAATTTCACAACAAATCGAGCAGAATGTGAAAAAGGGTTTAGAATCTGTCTTATTAATGTTCCATTTCACATACTAATATATGCAGTAGTATACCTCCTTAGAACCAATCTGTGTGAACAGTATGGTCACTTGCTGATTTAGCAGAATCCATGGGTAGCATAACTCTTCAATAAGAATACAACGTAGATTTAATTGAGATAAGCACAAAGGACATTTTTCCAATCTTTTGTAGGGCAAGAAAATAATGGCTTTCCTAAGCCCTGTCTCTGAGGTGGAAAGTCAAACTAAACTGAGCAGCAAACTGGTGCAGGGAGTGTCCAATTAGGGATCATATAAAACAATAAAGAAAAAATCCTCTTGCGCTGCCAAACCTAATATGATTTTTATTCATGCCTTGACATATAGCACTCCAATTGTCTATTTGCACATATGTTGAAGTTTCACTTATTGATTTGTTCATATTTGTTATTGTGCAGCAGGGCATCTAGTCTGTTTGGATATTTTCATTCACTTGTCTGGGGTTTTTCTCTATGCATGCATTTATATCACTTTAGTTAGGGGCTCTGTCAGGTGTTTACTTTTTGTTTATGATTAGGTTTAGTGAGTAACTCAGCACAATTTATCTAATCATTTATTAATTAAGGATTATACTAACTCGCACCAAATTGGGCTCTGTCACAAACCAAAATACTTACATAACACCTCAAATGCAAGTTGCCAGTGTTTGATTTTTGGACTGCATTACTGATTTGGGAGTAGGAAAGCTGAACCTAATCATTTTCACAGTGAGTGACGTCACTGCTGTAGATTAACTATGCAGCTCAACAGTAAGGGAATGTCTGCTTCCACCTGGCACTTCAAAAGCAGTGTTTTCCTTTGTGACAGTCTTCTATTAAAAATACCTTGTGAACTGTGATGTACATATACCCTGTGCACTAAGAGCTAACCACACTAGTATCCTTGGATTATTGTCTGTAAGTCAGATGCTATCAGGTTATTTAAGACAACATATGTCCAGAGGTAAGGAATTAGGTAAAATGAGTTAATGCAGATTATTACGTTAAAAATAATACAGAATAATTGTGTGTAATATTCACACTGCTCATTCCTTTTTAAAAATGCAAATCTACAGCGTGCCCCTAACAAGGGAGCAAGTATTCCAACAAATTTACAACTGACCGCTTGAATGCCACCCCTCTCCACTACTCCTGAAATCCTTTATGTTTGATAAATGACACATTTAATTTTTCATCCTTTGCTGCTTCACGTGCTGGAACCAATGTGTTACAGGATGTTCTTTCTGACTGCACACAGCCTCAGAGTGCTGGCTTGCTAAATTAATTGCAAAATGTCAAAGTACAATAAAAAAAGTTTAAAGCAGCATCAATATTTGTTTTAATGAGATGGCACTTTTCATCTGTTCCTTCCTGTACAGTGCTTATTTATTTCCAAATTTCAAGAAAAAAAAAGTCCAGCAGATCAAAAAGATTCTCAGAACATCAAACCAAAGCAACACGCATATAGAGGGGATCATAGCGCTTCCTGCTGGGTATGTGAAATGCGCATTGCCATCTGCAGAAAATGGCACTGAGAGAACTGATTATGGTTGGCCCTCCTTTTCATAGCAGATGGGTTCATTAAATTTAATAGCCTCCAGAGCCTTTAGAAACAGTGCTGAGCACATGTGGAGTGTACTGCGACACTTTACATCGCACCCCTGAGTCATTACATCTCTGGCTTGGACTATAAATATTACACTAATTTATTTTTATCCAGAAACATTAATGTTTTAATTATTAGTAGAATACAGGGTCTTGATGGGTTGCATGATATTGATTTTCTGATACTGGCCTGTTTCAGAAAAATAAAATTCGGTGGCTACTTTTGGCTCATTGAAAGAAGCATAAATCATTACTGCAGAGAGAAATAATATACGTACACCATCGGCAGGCAATGTGTTGCTTTTTGGAGGGGGCTTGTATAGGTTCCCCAACTCCTTCAAAGGGCCACACAGTTTTTCTTAGAACAAGAAATACCAATATAAACAACAGTTGTAATTCATTTGATTGTATCAGCACTTGATTGAGTACCATCTATCAAATGCAATGAAGAGAAATCACCAAAACAGTGTTTAGGCAGACATAATAACAATGAAAAAAGTAAAAATGTGCAATCCTACCACCTACTGCACTGGAATTTACTGCATCAAAATAGCCACCTGTTTAAAGGATAAGTTCACCTTTTTTGCAGGTAAAACAATGTGCATTACATTTTTTTTCTAAGGAGCCTACAGAGCACTGCACATGTGATCAGCAGATCACGGGTGCTGTCTCAGGCTCCTGTAGACTCTCATTGTAGCTGTCTGCCCATACCTTGTACAGACAGGCAGTTTACTGAATGACAGTTCCGTAGTAGTTCACTGAGAGCTGTAAGCTGTCAGTCCAGGGGCGGACTGACCATTTGGGCGCTCGGGCACTGCCCGAGGGCCCAGGGTCAGTAGGGGGCCCCATGAGATGCCCCTAGTACCTTTCATGGGCATTTTTGGGTTTTTTGGGTGTGGTTTGAGTGTGGGTGAGGACACAGGGGCCCCATGATTTCCTATTGCCCGGGGGCCCATGAGTTGTCAGTCCGCCCCTGTGTCTGCCAGAATTCCTTACGGTAGTTGTAGTTCTCCAATTCGGGCATGGGAGGAGGAGACAAGGGAGCTAGAGAGTAGGAGGTCCTGCGAGGAGCATATAGATAAACATTCCACTAGCAAATCATCATGTTATTCCAGCATTCATCTTGTACCAACATATAAGTGTGCAATGCTCAGGAAAGAGAAAAGAGTCTACACATAGTGTAATGGTTGTATTTATCCACTTCCTGTCAGCCCATTGCCTATAGATGGTGGACGGGACTCAGCACTGATGCGGGCTAACGTACCTGTACATCAGCCCGCATCAAAGGTTCCTGCGCAGCTTGCAGAGTGCACATCCGGGAGTACGATGATCCATGTGTCATCCAGACACAGTGGATCACATTACCGCTGTGTGTGGGTGGTCACATGGTATTTTACCATGTGATTGCTATGTCCAATCACAGCAACCACATAGTAAACAATACCATGTAAAGTAAAGACCAGTTCTGAAGTGATGCTGCAGCCTTTGAGTGTACAGCAGCCTGTCAGGCTGCTTGTACGCCATATGTCATTCCAGCGTCCAGCATTTTAGAGTCTCAGCTGATCAATTTTCAGAAACACACTATATTGCCAAAAGTATTGGGACGCCTTCCTTTACACGCACATGAACTTTAATGGCATCCCAGTCTTAGGGTTCAATATTAGTTGGCCCACGCTTTGCAGCTATACAAGCTTCAACTCTTCTGGGAAGGCCGTCCACAAGGTTTAGGAGTGTGTCTATAGGAATGTGTGACCATTCTTCCAGAAGCGCATTTGTGAGGTCAGGCAATGTTGGACGAAAAGGCCTGGCTTGCAGTCTCCGCTCTAATTCATCCCAAAAATGTTCTTTAGGGTTGAGGTCAGGACTCTGTGCAGCCAGTCAAATTCCTCAACCCCAAACTCGCTCATCCATGTCTTTATGGACCTTGTTTTGTGCACTGGTGCGCGGTCATGTTGGAACAGGAAAGGCCCATCCCCAAACTGTTCTCTCAAAGTTGGGAGCATGAAATTGTCCAAAATGTCTTGGTATGCTGATGCCTGAAGAGTTCCCTTCACTGGAACTAAGGGGCCAAGCTCAACCCCTGAAAAATAACCCCACACCATAATCCCCCCTCCATCAAACTTTACACTTGGCACAATGCAGCCAGGCAAGTCTTTTCTCCTGTCAACCCGCCAAACCCAGACATGTCCATTGGATTGCGAGACAGAGAAGCATGATTTGTCACTCCAGAGAGCTAGAGTTCCATGGTGGCGGACACTTTGCATTGCACTTGGTGATGTAGGGCTTGGATGCAGCTGCTTGGCCATGGAAACCCTGAAGATTGGAGGTCTTTAGCTATTGACTCTGCAGACAGTTGGCACTTTCTAAACACTGTGCACTTCAGCATGCGCTGACCCCGCTCTGTCATTTTATGTGGCCTACCACTTCATGGCTGAGTTGCTGTTGTTCCTAGTTGCTGCCACTTTGTTATATTACAACTAACAGTTGACCGTGGAATATTTAGTAGCAGGGATATTTCATGGATGGACTTATTGCACAGGTGGCAACCTATCACGGTACCACACTTGAATTCACTGAGCTCCTGAGAGCGACCCATTCTTTCACAAATGTTTGTAGAAGCAGTCTGCATGCCTAAGTTCTTGATTTTATACACCTGTGGCCATGGAGGTGATTGGAACACCTGAATCAAATGATTTGGAGGGGTGTCCCAATACTTTTGGCAATATAGTGTATATCCCATAGTTTGTAGATTTTGTAACTTTCACACGGACTAAATAATATACACTTTTGGGTTATTTTTACTCCCAAAATGTTTCAGAATACATTTTGGGCTAAATTTATGAATAAATATTATTTATTTGCAAAATGTTATAACAAAAACTAAAACAAAAAATGTTTTTCAAACTTTTCTGTATTTTGTTCATGTATATAGCAAAAACTAAAAAAAAAAAACAGTGGTGATCAAATACCACCAAAAATAAAGCACTATTTGTGTGATAAAATGATACAGATTTCATTTGAGTATAGTGTTGCATGGTAGTGCAATTGTCATTCAAAGTGTGACAGTGCCAAAAGCTGAAAATTGGCCTGGACTGGAAGGGGGTGAAAGTGTCCGAACTTGAAGTGGTTAAATAAAAAAGGGTTAAAAAGAGCAGGGAATACTAACATGATATATGTCATCAGCCACAATCAGGCCCTATTTACACTTAAGCATAGCAGGAACACACGTTTTTATTTTGTGCATTTTTCACTTGAATGGGCTGCCCTACGTGCAACAAACACCCCAAAGTAGCTCCAGAACCTTTCTGAATGTGGAGCATTGTGCGCATTTTGGCAAGTGACAAATGTGTGTCAAAAAATGCGTCTGCTACCCGTGATTGGGGTGCTATTAACAATAAATTAATGAAAGTGAATGCAGCTTAAATGTTTATTTATTAACATTAGGGTGCCTGAGGAAAGCAACATGTATGACAGTAGTGTTGCCCTTTAAAGCCCAACTAATCTTCTCATTTAAATCAGCTAAAACATCCCAGGTGTATTAAAACAATAGTTTTGTGGAGACGAGTGATTGCACCAAACAGTTGAAAATTGTTTATAGAGAAAATTGACTGTAGAGACAATTCAACCTCTCCTAAATATCCAGCCTCCAAAATTTGCTAACCCTTTGTATGATGGTAAACTCTATCACAGGCATTGATCGGATATGAAGTCCAATGCTCACAAATTGATGATCACAATCAACCCTCCATATTCCCACACACAGAAAATAGTACTATATAAACATAAATGGGTAACATGAGTGCATGATAAATTCAAACCGCCCGCATTCCTACCAAACTGACAGTTCTCATAACATGATATATGCAAGCATAAACAATTCATAGTCCATATTAAAACATTAAACATTAAAATCATCAATAGATAAAAGCTATACAATATACATAAAACATTAAATAGTAAAATAAAATTACTCTACAATCTAACCCCAGACATCATAACATACCTCAGGACCTACAGTAATTAATAATTGTTTGAACCCACTCTACAATAATAAATAAATACATATTTTACTGAAAAATAATCCACAAAATCTTAAAATCGAAAATTAGCGACATAAAAAAAGACTAATAGTTTGCACTCCAACGGTTATACCCCATTATTTCTCTGAGGCTTCAGATTTTTGCTGGAGATGCCGGGGGTCCCAAAGGATGTTCCTACATACTTATATTAGAAAATTTGTGGAAAGAGGTGAGAAGACTCACCCAAACATTTACAAACTATCCGGTCCCATTTGATCCTGCCTTCTTCCTTCTCAACTGTTTAGATATCCCTACCAAAGTTTAATAGAAGTAGATCCTCCATCATCTGTCTAATGCCACCAAAGCCTGCATAGCTCTGAAGATGGAGGGACCTGAACCCCTCCCTCTATCTCGTTGTGGCTTAACAAAGTAGAAAGGTGTTAAGGGGATGGAGGACCTGATACTGACTGCTCAAAATTGATGGGAAAGATAATCAAAAACCTGGCTCCACTAGAACATGTTTGTGATATGGGCAAAGTATTAATGGACAACTGTTCTGGGAATTGACCTCTCCCTGACTTTTCCACAGTCTTGAACATGCCAACGTAACAAACCACTTCCCTCCCCTCTCCTTTTTTTCTTCTTTTTTTCTCCCCTTTTTTCTTCATTCTCTTCTCCTAACTCTCTCCTACTCACTAAATAAAACAAAGGATGGGTATCCCACTCAAACCTCTCCCATAACTTAATTTTGAGAAGTGCGGTAGCATGAGGAAGTCCTTTACAATACTTAATGATTTCCACTGTGCCTTTTATCCAAAAGACCTATGTCACCACCTGCTGGTACTTAGGGGAGTGTTACCACTTCAAGGAACCCTGCCCAGTGGGCACTTATGATTTCAACCTTTCTACTGACTATCTCTAGGTGATTTGTATCTTATGTCATGGTGCAATATCACATCTGTATTAGTTTTTGTGACATCTGTGGATTATATCTAAATGCGATATTGGATACCTTTCTGTCTAAATAAAGAATTTTAAAAGAAAACAAGGACTAATAGTCACTATTGAAGCAACTGATATCAGCATCAATATGACTGAGTAGGTTTTACCAATTCTATACGAAGAGTTTATGAAGTATTTTACTAAAATTCCTTCCTTTTTTTAACATATAGCTGTGGAGCGATATGACGGGGAAAGGAATTGGAGGTTTGTGCATCTGAAGAGAGTGGGGGATTCCACATTAACAAAAGTGCCAATAATTGTTATGAGAGGCATGTGGAGCTGGTGAGTGCCTTACCAGAAGGGAGTGGATGTGCACAGTATACACGTAGTGATTTGAAGGGTCACGTGGTGGAAGAGATGGGAGATTAAATAAGTGTGAACATAATTTGTAGACATTATTAATGGACTTTATTTTTTTCTATATTTATACTGCATCACCTTTTTCTCATTTGATGACACTGGGTGATTCCTATATTTCCTTACATTATTTATATTGATAAATGTTGTTTAGTTTAATTTGTTTTTGATTGATCACAGCGCCTCCTCAAACTGGCATTTAAATTCTAGTTTGATATAAGAACATAAATATAAATTGGTGTATAGGTATGCTAAGGCATCTTTAGATTTCTGTATCTTACTACTTTCATGAAAGATAATAGGATATGCAATTGCCCATTTTTTTAGAGATGTTGATACAAATAGATTCATAATGATCAATAATTTTCACCATCCTCATTGGATTAAAAATGTACTTAAGGATTAGTTAATTAGAATTAGAAAAAACTGCAGATTCATACAAGATTGTTTTAAACAGGTTGATATGTAAAAGAACTAATTTTTAGGGAAGGGGTATTCGAAATTAGACATAACATGCATTGTTGGTAAGCACAGGGCAAAATTGATTACATAAATAAAGATCAGGATGATTTGGATTGTAATAAATTCAAAGGGTTTCCATTACCAAAATATAATTGCCATTACAAAATGTGGAAAGTGTTTTAACTAAACACCCATTCTGAAGAAAGATTTAATGTTAGGACCACATTTGCCAGGCAATTGGCAAATGTTGTAAAGGAAAGCTCCCCCATTCCATAATAGGGTGGCTCCTAGTACTGTAAATCCTCCTTTTCACCATGGCAAAGGTTTTTTTTGCCTACAGAAGATGCTTATCCCATAGATTATGTACACCTGCTAGGAAACAAACCTGTTTTACATCCTATGCTAATTTCTATATTTTTCTAATAAGGCATTTTATTTCATGTGTTACTACCCATGTCACATAATTGACTGAACATACAGATATCAATACATCGATACAACCACTAGACCCTTAGCAGAAAGACTTCGGGAACATCTCTACAATTTACACAAAGTAAAAAAAAATCATAATTTATCAACCTTATTAAAAAGTTAAATGACTGTGATCCTAAAAACAAACTTAGAGGGTTGAAACATTTTGGAGATGTGGGAATATGACAAGATCCATCTCACCAATAATGCCCCTTTTCCTAGTAGTTTGAATATTGATTTAAGTGTAAATCGATTCATTAGTTATCAGAATAAACATCTATTTGTGAATGAAATTATTATTACTAATTTATAAAAATTAATTGTGATATATTTTATGTTGTATGCCTTATTTATAAATTAAGGATTTTTTATGCTTATTTCCACATATTTTTTTAGTGTTGAGGTATAGCGTTAAAAGGTGCATTTTGTGGGTGGTGTTGTGGTATGTAAATCACAAAGCATTATTTTCTTTATGCAATCATAATCACACGGGTGTTCTTATGAAAATCAATTTTCTATATATGTGATGACAATTACTGATCCCTAAAACACTGAAGAAGTCAATTAACAAAATGCATAGGGTGGGATCAGATTGAGTCTTCAAATTCACAACACCAATGCTTCTGGCCGGTTGTAACAGCTTCTGTTTGATGGATCTGTGGTACACTTTCTTCCATAATGATTTGTATTGCATGCTTCTGCGTTGCGTATGCACTAGAAATATGTGATTTTATTTTTCTTCCTTCTATTTAATAAAAAACCTAGCATTGGAGTTTGCTTATATCTTACATTTGATCCTATATGCAATGTAATTCCCACCTAGGAAGGGCTATATGGATACCTTTTCATCACAAGCTGTCATAATTGTGAATCTCTACCCTGTTAATATTGTTAACATTGATCTAAGGATATTAATGCTATTTGACCTACCTACTTCAAGGGGTCAACATCATATAGTGAGCTGGTGTCTAAAAGGTGTTGGTGTGATTTTCACACTTTAAGGTTCGATTGCTGGTGGGATCTCAAGCACTCTATGCACTATTTTTAACAGTGACAATAGACGATCAATGTAATGTCTTAAATATGTTTTTGTTCTTTTGTAGTTCCTTTTTCAAGGTTTTTTTAGGTAGACTTGTATAGTTTATCATCACTTCCACTTTTGTTTTGGTATAGTAAAATCTTTTATGAAACATTTTTAGGTTTTGATCTAGGCACTAATGAAGGACCATCATAACTATTGGTAAGTCAAGGAGCATTACATGTAAACAGTTTGGAAATAGTATAGGCACATTTGTATTAAATAAAAAAATCCATAACAAATGG